TTATAGTCCGATTCCTTGTTCATCTTCATCAATATCGCCAACTGCATCCTCGTCCAGGCAAGACTTGCAAATAAACCCGCCAATTCCATCCACATCCACACAAGAAATTAATTATTCTACCCTACATTCTACGAAGGGCAAAACTAACAGATTTCTTGGCGCTACCTCTCTAGTTCCCTCGTTGTCGCCTTCAGAATTATGTATCAGCAGCGTACCCCTCTCTAGCTCAGTGAAGACGGGCCGGGTTCCCAGTTGGCTAGAACCTAAAATACCTGATACACAAGATAACTCGAAGATTATGGGCGCTACCAGCTCTAAACTGCACTCCGCTACTGAATTTAACGGAAGCTGGGCCATAGATGGTAAGACTCCAGCGACAACTCAGTTCCCAATTTGACTACACACCTCTAGGGCCAAAACACACACACACACACACACACATCCACTTGACTAGTCTTATTTAATTTAGTATACAAAATCTCAGCCCGAGTTACACAACATAACCCATTATAGATATGTAGATATGTTACGGTTAAAGTATTTACTTGGCTAGTATATAAACTAGATGGATAGTACACAAACTATCCAACTGCCTGGTTATTTTGATGAAAAATCATATTTTCACTAAAATAGCTACGAGTAATGGCTGGTTTGTATACTATCCAGCTAGTTTATAAACTATACAAAATTTATCGCTAAAACACAAACCACAATGAAATTACACAAATTAGCTAGCATTTTTGGCTAGTTTGTAAACTATCCACATTAGTTGGATAAAGTGTGAACCTGATATTGGTAGTAATACATAATAACCAACGAGTTTGTTATTATGTATTACTCAACAAACTAATCAGTTCTCTTGGGTTAATTTAGTTTAAGATAGTAAAATCCTTAGTCAAAAATGGTTTCTTTATTGGTACAATGTAAGATTGTTACAGGTACCTATTATTACTTTAGAAAAAGTAAAAGAAATATAACTCAAATAATACCAGGTGACAAAATATTAACAATAAAGTATGTCAGGACATTAAAACCACCAAACAAAGAACAGTATTATTTGTTGGAGCAAGTTGCACTGTTGTGGCACTTACTATTACAGGTATATCCAGACGCAAGACATTTACACTTTTTATTCGCACAACTCTTCTTGCAGTGACATCGCACATATCCTTGGGTTGAACCCGATACTGAAAATTTTCCTGCAGCGCTCGTAATGTTATTTTTATTTCGGTGTCCGTCATTTTCCAACTCCAAATTGTTGCTTACATATTTCAAATTCGTTGCGGGAATAAAGCCGTTTAAGAACACCGTGGACAGTTCCAATTCGGTAAAATTCATCTTCTACACTCATTATGACGCCCAATATATTTCTATGATCTGACCGACTTCGATCTACATCTGGAATGGGTACTCTCACGGAGATGCCGACGGCTCCTGGTTTAAATTTCTTGCGAGAAGTTTGTAGCATTTTTTGTGCTTGCCTTTTTAGACTTTCCTGGCATGAATCCCTTATCGCTTTAATATTGTTTTTATTCTGACAATGCTGTACCTTGGAAGAAAAAGGGCCAATGTCCATAAATTACGGTTTGGGGCTTATGTCATAGACAGTGTTGTCGCCTTCCATACTTTCATATAAAAAAAGGCCAATCTCCACGGTATGCTAATATTCAATATAGTGAATTCCCATTAGGGCGTAAGTCCATTTGAGTTTCATAGAAAAAGGGCTAATGTCCTCAACGATGGACTTTGGCCGTTTCATATTAATTGTGATAAAGGCCAATGTCCATCATGATGGACATTAGCCCTTTTACATGAATTAACTTTTGGACATTGGCCTTAATTAATTATTATGCTGCACATGTTTTAACCTCAAATTTTAGTGTAACGGTATTCTTTTTGTGGTGTTGTTTATGAACAATAAAAATGAATAAAAGGACGCTTCAAATTCTGAGAAACTGCGGACTCGCATCTCAAAATTGTAAGTTCACTTTTGCACATATTTATGTTGCATTGAGGATTAAAGTTATATTTTTTAGCTGATAATGTTGATAAGAAACAGAGAAGTGAGTCAACATTACCTACAAGTTCAATAGCTGATAATAACTGTTATTGTTCACCTGAAACGTCATTACAACCTTTAACTCCTATTGTAAGTATACTTGTACATAATGGAATAAACGGCACTCAAATTCTAAATTTTGCGATTGAATAGATTACCAAACAATATTATTATTAAAATGTATTATTGCTAAATTGGTTTTAGGTATCCAATGAGATCCAACTGATTGAGGATAACGATTCGAATAATTACGCAACTTTGCAGAACATTACGATTGAAACTAATGCGGTGAGTGGTTTTTATCTTATTCATTTTTTTAGAAAATGCAGATCGACAGGAAACAATGATAACACAAGCCAAAACTTTTTTAAGCAATGTCGGTTTTACCAATAGGCTAACTACATATCTTAGTGAGACAGAGATAACAACCGAGTTTTTGTTTTAGACCAATCTCGAACCAGGGGAATTTATTACTGACAACGATGATGATTCATATGTAGATCCTGATTACTCACCCTCCGATGCTTCTGATATTGATGATGGGATCGACAGTAACATGAACTCGTATCCAGTTACAGCAGATTTTGAGGTACATCGTTTTAAATTACTATTTTTTATAATTCGCCTAACAAAAGCGTTATTTTTTAGAATGTCCAACTCCAGAGCGAAAACCCAGAAGAGATTTCAGAAAATGATACTCCTCATAAAAAAACAGAAAATGAACACACGCGTTTCGAGGGAAGTGGAGAACAGAATTTGGAAAGTCTTACTCAGAAACGTAAAGTAGGAGGACGTCAGAAAAAGGTAGATGAACAAAAAACTAGGAAGCGTGTTAGAAATGCTAAATCGTGGAAGGAAAATATTAGGAAAGCGTTGAAAGAACAAGGCAAAGAATATGTGAGCAAGAAAGGAAGCGTTAAGGTTGCAAAAGAAATGAAATTGCCTTGCACTTGCCGAATGAAGTGCTATGAGAAAATTAGTGAAGAACGCAGGAAGAAGCTATTCGAAGATTTTTACAACTTATCAAAAGACGCCCAGGATCAGTATATTTCAGAGACCATTAAAGAAACCACAAAACAAAGAGAAAGAGTTAGAAAATTAAAGGAAAAAAATGGTAATTGCAGTCGCAGAAAATTTACTAGAAAATATTTCCTAACGGATGATAACGGTCAAAGTAATGAAGTGTGTCAGATAATGTATCGTCATACCTTCGATTTTACTTTAAAAAAAATTAGGATCATTACAGAGAAAAAAAGAGTGGCTAAGTCAAGCATTTGCCCTTTAGATGGTAGAGGTAAGCACTCAAAACACAAGAAAATTGCAGATGAGCAAAAAGATACTATCAGAAATCACATCAATCGTTTTCCGGCATACAGGAGTCATTATTCGCGAGAACGTACCTCAAAGAAATACCTAAGTTCCGATCTTTCGATTGCAGAGATGTATCGTCTGTACTGTGAATATTGCAGAAGCAATGATAAAACAGCTGAAAAGGAGTCACTATATAGAAAAATTTTCAATGAGGAGTTTAACCTTAGTTTTCATGCTCCAAAAAACGATACTTGTGCCAAATGTGACCAGTTTGCCTTGAGCTTACAAAACTTGGAAAACAAGCAATTAACTGAAGAGGAAAATGAGATTCAGAAAAAACTTCTGGAGGACAAGGAAAAACATCTAGATTTCGCTGAAAAAGCTTATAAACAAAAGGCGCTGGACAAAGAACGAAGCAAACAGGATAAGTCTTTTGCAGTAGCCTCTTTTGATTTAGAAAAATGTCTGCCAACACCGTATCTTCGTAACGGTGTTTCATTCTACAAAAGGCAATTATGGACGTACAACCTAACTGTGTATCAAACTACTACAAAAGGTAGTGTTGGCATTTGTTACCTTTGGAACGAAACAGTAGCAGGCCGTGGTGGACAAGAAATATCTTCATGTCTAAGGCAGTTTATACTTTCCCTTCCAAATGAAGTGGAAGTGCTTCACTTGTATAGTGATTCGTGTTCCGGACAAAATAGGAATATTTTTATGTGCACAATGGTCTTGTTAGTAATGAATGAAATGAAAAGGTTGGGTCGAAGCTTGAAAGAAGTGCATCATAAATTTATGGAACCTGGTCACACCCACATGGAGGCGGATACAATACATGCCGTGATAGAAGCTGCCAAAAGGAAAACAACGGCTGAAATAGAAGTTCCTCACGATTGGTGCAATTTTATAAGGAACATACGAAGAAGTCCTCCTCTACAGGTTGTAGAAATGCCACAAAAGGAATTTTTGAATTTCAGTAGCCTGCTATCCGATAAGTTGGTACATCGTAAGAAAAATGACGATGGCGAAGCAATTCCATGGATAAAGATAAAATGGTTAATGTACAGTCATAATAACGATTATCGTTGTTTGTATAAAACGAGTCTTGAGGAAAGCGAAGAATTCAAAAAAATTGACCTAAGGAGAGGCTCTACCAGAAAACGAGCTAACGAAATTGAAGTTGCCCAACCGAAACCAATTACTTTGGATCCTCTGCCTGTAGCAGAGCTTAAGGTTAGCAATCTGATGGATTTACTGCCCTATATCAGCCAATACAATAAACCATTTTATCAAGCTTTAAAAAAATCTGAAGAACTGGATCCTGATATTCTTCCAGGCGCCGAAAGCGATTAAATGGCATTTTATCTTATTATTTCTTGTTGTTTTGTGGAAAATAAATCATTTTGTTGACCGAGTTTTATAGTGTAATTTCTCAAATGTAGGCCCAATGTCCACTTCTGTTTCAAAATTGAAGGCCAATGTCCACTGCTTTCTTATATTTTGTAAAAAAATAAAAAAATCATTACATTATATTAAAATAGTCCAATGTGACTAACAATATTAAACAAACAAAAAATCAGTATTAGAATAAACAACTACGATATTCAAATAAATAAGTTACGTAAAACTTCTAAATCATTTTATTCAAAACATCTGAAATGGACATTGGCCCTTTTTCTTCCAAGGTACAGATATGGTCACACACGTTTTCATCAGAATATAATAAGCATTTTTGTGGTAATGATTCATTGAGAGCATTTTCTGTTGTTTCAGTAGAGAGCAATGCCATTGCTTGTTCTTTAAATAAAACCGAGGTTCTATTGTTAACTTCGAGTGAAACTGGGGTTTCAGTATTATTTTCGGGTAAAACTGGGGTTTCGGTATTAAGTTCGAGTAAAATTGGGGTTTCAGTATTATCTGCGAATACAACTGGCCTATGAGTATTATCGGGCAGCATAACCAGCGTAGCATTTTCAATTAAATCTAAAAGAAATTAGGTTGCATTGTGAAATAATGTGGAAATACTTTCTAGATACGTACCAGACAATTGTTGGGCGGCCATTTCCTCTTCAGTGACTGTAGATTTTTCATCGGGTACAAAATTATTTGAAGGATGTGAATCTTCTTCCACTTTATCCTCGGTGTCATTACTAGAAGATAATAATGTTTCCAGTTCCTCTTCTGTACGTATGGATTTAATGTTTGTGATAGAAACAGGGAGGTTATTTAAACCATCTCTACATTTTACACCATATAAAGCTTCATAAGGACTGCGTCCAATACCAGAATGAAAGCAGCTACAAAAAACAATGAACTGAAGTAAAACGTAACTTATACAAAGAAAAACACAGTTTATTTTCTTAAATTTGAAAATACTAGCTTACTCACCGATTTTTTTGAAATTGAACGATTTTTAAACCTTCGCTCCATTTTGTCGAGTTATTATCTTTCATCCACGACGCTAACTTGTTCTCTATATCTTGGTTCGCACTCTGCACTGAACCTTGTGATTGTGAATGTCTCGGTTTACCATGCACAATATGGCAGTCAGGCCACATTCCGACTAATTCCTCAATCACCTAAAAAAATCAAAATGTATTGATTTTGTTTTATTTCATCCATAGCAGCATTTAGGGAATTTGAAATAAAGGACATGGCACTTCAAATTCAAAATCTCAACTTTGGGCCCATTTTTCCGGTACACCCAGTAGAGCTAGGGCTTTAGCGCAAAGGAAAAAGATCTTTTGATGTCAGCTACAACATATCAAAAATACAGAAGGCCAAAATGCCCATAAAAAGTGCCATGTCCTTTCTAGCGTGCCTTTTACCCTAATACCCACCTGGTTTGCAAATTCTCGGCCATTGGATAGTTTACAAATTAGCCAAAAATGCTAGTTAATTTGTGTAATTTCCTTGTGGTTTGTGTTTTAGCGATAAATTTTGTATAGTTTATAAACTAGCTGGATAGTATACAAACCAGCCATTACTCGTAGCTATTTTAGTGAAAATATGATTTTTCATCAAAATAACCAGGCAGTTGGATAGTTTGTATACTATCCAACTAGTTTATATACCAGCCAAGTAAATACTTTCACCGTAAGATATATATATATATATATATATATATATATATATATATATATTTAATAATAATGGTTTTATTTAGTTAACCCGTCAACTAAAACAAAAAATTAAAAAATTAACACAATTATAGTATAAAAAGTAGAGGGCAACTAAATTGGGCGATGTTCAGATACAGACGAGGATACGCCTGATCTGCTCTTCCACATTACCCACTCATAACTATATTTAACATATTAATAATGTTGTGCAATGGACTAACAGACAAAATTTAAAAAAAGAATTAATTTGTGATAACTATTAAACTATATGATGTATAATACATTGGTTCATGGTAATATGAAATAACACAGTAAATATATATATATATATATATATATATATATACTCTAACAATAATAAAGAAGGATCCCCAATATTTAAGACGGCACAAATATCACAGTTTCCAGAAGAACAACTTCAACTTTTAATTCTAAAAACCGAAACAAAAAACCGTTATAATTATCCCCTTTGAGTTAATTAACATTTACCAGTCAAGCTGGTTCCCACCCCATAAAACAATTAAAGTAACAAGATCACAAAAATGTATCTGATCGAGAGGCCTCGATCTGACCAAACCCACTTGATTGTCGGGACCTGCTATTATTCGGATATAATTTGAATTTACTGAATTTCAACTAACTTACGTTAACAGTAGCACAAGGCTTCCCACCAGTTTACGTCTAACAACAATTATTGCTTCCCTCACAAGTAATTTCTTTGCAACGAAATGTCTTCAACTAATTGTTAACAAAAGGGGTCTCCCCAAATTCGACAGAATCTCTAAGATTCTCTGCTAACAATAATTCATCGTGAACGTCAAATTTCGTAACAACAAGAATGTTCTAAAGTCCTCTCTATCAATCGGTACGTAACTTCGACAGACATTAGTGACACTTCGCTGTGGGTACTCGACGTTCCTCCAACACCTCGCCACGATCTCCACGTACAGCGGTTGACTATGTGATCGGCACGAACTCCAAAGGTTCTACGATGTCCTCAATCTCACGTAGAGGTAATCAGTCCTCTCTCTCTCTCGTTTCTCCCAACAGCGATATACACAAAAACAACTCGGAACTCCCCCAGGGTTAATCCTCAAGACAAAACGAACGTTCGACAGCCGTGCTGGTTATTATAGTCCTACCGGCTGCTCCGCCTAAAATAAACCCCCAGATGTAACATCGGGACAAACTAACGCATTATTGGAACGAAACTCGCCCTTTATAATAGATTAACGCAGATGAACGCAAATCTTAATAAATCCCGATAATTCTCCAACAATCACATAATATGCTCCACTACGACTTGCTTTCCGCCATCACACCATTTCCGAGAGATCGTTGTTAGTTCCACCTTAAAAATCTCCTACTTCAGCGGCATCTTTTATACACCCAATATTCCTACACGATATTCTTTTTCCCGACCAAACTAACCGTTACACTATTTTTGAGTACTTGTTACATCAATTGAGCATTAATTTCGCCCTACTACAATAAACGGCCTTAACTCGTTAATGATATTTTGAGCTAAGGCTTTATTTACCCTAAACAATCCAATAAAACGTTCATGTGTTTGATAAAATGGAGTCCAGCTATTTCAAAAACTGGCTCCTCTGTGATGTATCCTTGTAATGCACTTAAATCTTCAAGGTTGTTAATCTGCAAGATTTTCTCGCGAATAGTAGAAGTAGTTAGCACCTTTTACATGATATACTCTTTGTATTGTATTTCTCCGTCTTAATGCTCTGCCAATTATATCAACTCTTCTTAAAAAATAAAGGTATTTTGAAGACCAAAATTTCTTTTTCTTCTATAGAGAGTATTTCTCGATATGCATAATATCTTGCTTATATTTGTCCAATTGAAACCAATATTTCTTAAGTGAATAATTTGTTCATTATTAATATTATATATTTTGGTCGTCCCTCGTGACCTCTAATGAGTGTTAAATTATTGTTTACATTTCCAGGGGGTGCATTAAGTTGCAACCCCCACTAAAAAGAATAGCAAATCTATTAATACCGTTATTTTGTACTAATTGTGTACTTATTTGTACCACGGGTACCAAATTTTGTACCACTACATTTTAAACGTTAGGACCAAATCTATACAATGGGGTTGCAACTAAACCCCACCACTCCAAATATTCAGATTCTTAAAAACGTTTGTGCCATAATTTTGTACTAATTTGTACCGTAAATAATAAGTTTTGTACCACTACCTTTTAACCACTAGGATCAAATCTACATTGGGGTTGCAACTTAATGCCACAACCCCAAGTATACAGATTTAAATATCAAGTCGCTAATGTGCTTCTCCCAAGTTAGCTTACTATCCAATGTCACACCCAGAAACCTAACGTAATCCACGCATGGAATTGGGGTTTGATTAATGAATAGTAGGGGGTCGTAATGTGCTGTACGTAGCCTACAGAAGTGGACACATTTTGTTTTGGTGATAGAAAAAGTAAATCCTGTTTCCTCAGCATTTTCCAAAACTTGATTAACAACAGGTTGCATTTTTCTTGATATTTGACCAATAGTTTTGCCACTACCAAATATACACAAGTCATCCACATATAGACAACATTTCACGTCTGTGCCTATGTTATTAACTAAGCTATTAATTGCTATGTTGAACAAGGTACAGCTTACTGTTGATCCTTGTGGGATTCCATTCTCAAGGACGTAAGCTTGAGACAAGCTCCCATTGATTTTGACACGAAAAGTGCGATTAGACAGAAACGACGAGATGACTTTGGGTAAACTGCCTTTAAAACCCCATTTTTCTAGTTGTAGTAAAATACCACCACGCCATGTCATGTCGAAAGCTTTTTCGATATCAAAGAATACCCCCACAGTGTGATGTCGATTTTTGTATCCTTCCTGTAAATAATTTTCCAAATAGACTAACTGATCTACCTATTGTGGAATATCCTCTACGGAATCCTGCTTGTGCCTCTGTTATAAATTGTGGATCTATCAGGTGAATGTGCCTTTGATTTATCATTTTCTCAAAGAGCTTTCCCAAACAGCAGGTTAAACTTATAGGCCGATAACTCTTACAATCCAGTCGATTTTTGCCTTCCTTTAATATAGGCACTATAATTGCCTCTTTCCACTCTTGCGGATATATCCCTTGTTGCCAACAGTAATTGTAAAAGTTAAGAAGGCGTCGCTTAAAGAGGTAAGTCGTCTGGGTGATCATTTTATTTGTTATTTGGTCGTTACCTGGTGCAGCTGGAAAAGGGACGTTTTCTTTAAACAAGTATTTAGTTCACTCAAGGTAAACGGTAAGTTATACTCGAGGTTTTCTTGCGTTGCAAAGTTTGGAGAATGTATTTCTTTGATTTTTTCGCGGAACTCGGGTTTGTAGTTGGATGTTTTACTCACCGACGCAAATTGTTCAGCAATCATGTTAATAATAGTATTTTTATCATCCGTTATGGTGTTGTCGGGTAATTTTAGGTAACTTATGGTATTAACCTTTCTCTTATTTATGACCGTTTGGACCTTCCTCCATGTCTCACTAATATTAGTATTGAACCCTATTGATGATACATAATTTTCCCACGACTCTTTCTTGCTTTGTAGTACTACTCTCCTTGCTAAGGCTCGAGCTCGCTTAAACGCTACCATGTTGTCCATAGTAGGCGTTTTTTTAAATTTGTTAAGTAGTTTCTTTTTATGTTTAATTGCTTCCTGTACACGGCTATTCCACCATGGAACAGACTTTTTTAGTGACCGTTCTTTTGTTAGGTATCGCAACATCGGCAGCGTCAAGGATCCATTGAGTTAAGCGTTCCAATGTGATTTGCCCCGTATGTCGCATAACAGATTCATCTAATACTCGTTGGTAAGTTTTCCAATCAGCTAAGTTATAGAGGTATCTCGGTGGTAATATAACCGGAGTTTTTACAATATTAGTCTCAATTATAATGGGGAAGTGATCACTACCGTACAGCTCCTCCGATACCTTCCACTCCACCACCAATCCAAGTTGTGGGGTGGCAATGGCCAAGTCTATAGCGGAGAAATTACCCGTCCGTGCCACAAGATGTGTTGGCGAACCATCATTTAATATCAGTAGGTCCTCGTCATTGACAATGGTGACTATCTCTTCTCCTTTTATGTCTCGATGAGTAGATCCCCACAAAGTGTGATGACTATTGAAATCTCCCAGTAACAAAAACGGTATAGGAAGTTGGGCGATCACTACCTCAAGATCTCTTTTCTCCCATTGTTAGTCAGGGAGATACAGGGAACATACGGTTAAATTCAATGGGGTTTTAATTTGAATCGCAATCGCTTGTAAGTGTGTTGTTAGATTAATTTCCCTCGATATTAAGGTTTCTTTTAGAAGTATAGCGACTCCTCCATGTGCCCTTTGGCCACCGGCAAGATCCCTCCTTAGGAATTTATAGCCTTTCAATGAATAGGGTTTCAGTGGCTTAAGGTGAGTTTCCTGTATCGCTACACAAAGTGGATCATTATCAACAAGTAGGCGCTTAAGATCGGCATAATGATGAATCAAACCATTACAATTCCATTGTAAGATTTTTTCATTTCTGGGCTCCATTTGTATATTATATGGATATAAAACGGTCAAAGATGGGACAAGAAGACATAATAACATAGATTTGTAAATATATAATCTTAAATACATATACAGACAAAATAACAAAATATAAATATATAGAAATCACAGGTATTATCACAGAAGATATCACAGATCAGTTTATCCACCTTTCTTGGTGGATTCCCTTGATGTAGATCGAGATCTCGATGGATCTTGAACTTGTTTTGCATGTCTAATAATCTTGGGTTTACCTTTGGGCCATCCCCTAGGCCTCTTTGCAAGATTTGTTTTTTTCATTTTGCTGAGAGGACGAGAACTGGCTACTTTCAGAGAAATTGTCCTCATCGGAGGGCGTTCTCTGATCTTCTTCCCTCTTATTGGTCTTATTAGTATCGACTGTGAGTCCTGGTCGTGTAGCTGTATATTCTGTGCTGTCTTTTTTAGTAACAAACACAGATTTTAATGTGTCTACCAAACATGGTAGAAGTTCTTTTGCCAATTCTTTGACTTCTATTACATTCTTTACAGATGATACAGTCTGGCTATAAGACACATTTCCAATTGTAGTTGGCCTGACCATCTTCTTGGCTTCAATATACGATATGTTTTCCCTCGCTTTAATTTCCTGTATGGCCACTTCTTGCTTATATACAGGGCAGTCTTTATACCTAGCATTGTGGTTTCCATTACAGTTCACACATTTTATGGGTGGGTCGCATGACTTGCCTTCATGCATATCTTTCCCGCATACACATCTGCTTATTTGAACATCTGACAGCAGTATGTCCAAACTGCTGACATCTAAAACATCTCATTGGAGCCGGTATATATAGACGTACTGATAAACGATAAAATCCTGCTTTAACCTTTTCAGGTATTTTGGGTCTATTAAAAGTCACTATATGAGTAGCAGTGTCTACCAAATCTCCATTGATTCTGGTCTTAATACGCCTAACATCTATGACTCCTTCACTCGCCATCTCTTCCTTTATTTCCTCGAGGGTACAATTCAATAGATCACGACACACAACAACTCCTCGAGATTGGTTTAGTGTAGTGTGAGCAATTACATTTACATTAAATTGACCTAACTTAGTTGTCCTTTGTAACAGCTGCGATTGTTTGCTAGAATTTGTCTCAATAAGCAGTCCATCTCTAATCTTTTTTATTTGTTTCAGTTCACCAACGATACCATACAAAGTTTTCGCTATTAAAAATGGAGAGACTTTACTAAAGTCTGTCCCATCTACAAGTTTGACGATCAGGAACCGAGGTGCAGACCCCTTCTCCCGATTCAAATCATCATCTCTAGATACGCCTGGTGTGGTGGCACGATCGCAAGGAATGGAGCCACCTTCCATTTCCTCGCCGGGTCGGTCATCAGGACGGTTCCGAGGGGGGTCCGACCCAGACCCCCTACCGCCCGAGTGGTTTGGTTGTTTTGACTTTACCATCCCAAAAGTTCGCGTTGTATAGCTGCCGCCAGCTTACAGGGTGTGAAAAAGTAACGATAAGCACCAACGGAGC